ATTACAGGCACATGGGACTTGTCAACTGGTCTCAGAGTGGCGCAGTGGCAGTGTACTTCAGATCTCTGCGATCTAAAACTCCGAGTGGCACTGCAACTGCTATGGGAAGGCCTGTCGCTTAACATCAAGCGCACGATTATGTTCGTCCTGTCACTTGGTATCATAAAATAATAATTAATAATAACAATAATAATAAATCTATAAGTAAACTACGTACTCGTTTGGGTAGAGTGTTTGGTAATAACTGCGGCAATTGGTCTTTCTTCTGTCTGGTTGTGCCAATGAAATGATTCATTATAGAATCGTTGAACATTGAAGCCCGGACTCTGCAATGCAAGTAATTACACTGGTATCAAATGATCCATTTATCAAATATAAACCCAATACTAAGCGGAGAACTAATTTGATGTGCTACGAAGTGTACTTAGAAAGTGTACCGTCGTCGGTTGGAAGTTTATTTATACCAGACTTTAATTATTATTATATTATTTTAAAAGAGCACGTCAAGGGACGTTGGTACTATCACCATACCTATTTCTACCGCCAAGCAGCAATGGAAAGTACAGGGACATGAAACTTGTTAACTTTATGTCTTAGGTTGAGGGGTTAAAAACTTTTTGTGAGTTAAAGTGGTACTGCAAAACTGCTAAGGGGAGGCAAGCCGCTTTCCATCAGAAGCACAACATGCCTATTCGTCCATCATTGATATCATAAAAAAAGGAAAACACTCTCGGAAACGAAAGGATGTAGAAAAGGTTCTTCAATAAGGTTTCAGTAGCACAAGTTACGATACGAATAGACTTACGTGAACCCCTACTGGACATGGTATCGCGTGTTCTCCGCTTGCATACGCGAATATGTACGATATGTGATATAAAAGAAATATATACCCATGAAAGTGCGCTTGCATCTCTGGAAATAACACATACAGGAATATAGTTATGACACGTATCACACTAGGTTGACAGGATGGCTTAGTGTTAATTACCCAGTGTAAACACTGAGTCGTTGTCGTCGTCGCCGCTACCGAGTCGACTAGGTGTAATTGCTTGCCCGCAAAAGGTAACAACTTACTCAGTGTACACGATGAGTCGTTTGACGACCGAAGTTCGCTGTCGAAGTCGACCGAGTCGACCAGGCGTAGTCAATATCGGGCAATTCGATAGCCTTGGGCAAGCAACTGTCGACTCATACAAGTTTCAACGTGTCGAACGACGCGTGTGTAAGGGACGGAGAATATCTTCCTACCCAATCAGTTTGTTGAACATTGCAAACCATTTGTGCTGTCTCTGTGCGTAAACTCCCGTTTATATGAATCGGTGTAAAAAGCTTCGATTGCGCTGTTTTTGTCAGTCGAATTCGACATAAATAGCTAATCGACGTCCCGTCCTTCGGCAAGGCGAATTAGTCCGCCGAGGGCGGCAGTCGACCCTGTGTCAGGGATCTAGTGAGTAAGACTGTGGTGTCTACTCAGATGGGTAGCGCGTGTACCTGTTTAAGTGGATGTTGGCCAAACGGGTCGAGCGGTTAGCGCCTATTTGAAACTACATACCTATGCTAAGATTGATTTTTGAGAAACAAATTTTTTACATAATATAATATCGGTGCTGTGCCACACAGCTGTAACCACTGTGACACAGCACTGACAAGACCAAACTTTTTGATGCGCCAGCCATACTGACGACGCTGCTATACCTGTCGCGACTGCATTACTCCACGAAGTCTGAGGTGATAGTGGAGTACATCAGGCTAAAAGCCAACACCCTGATTCTAGAGGTTGAAGTACCGCCACAACGTAAATTTTAATTCGTTTGGGTGAGGGTGCCGACCGAACATCTGTCGACCTTCATGAAGGAGGAGTTTTGGCCGAAGGGTGTCATATAAGGGTAATTTTCAGGTTAGTTTTCTCTATCTAATGTCGGTGGCAATTTTTATTATTTAAATGTTTTAGTGTACTATCAAGAATATTAAATAATATTTCAGGATACTACACTCGAATATTAAATAATACTTCATGACAATATTATAGAATATTTATAAATAATAAACATTGCCACTAAAATTAGATAGGTCTTTACAGAAAACTAATCTGATAATTACCCGTATCGGCGATTCCGCGGCCGGTTACCTGACACTAGATTGCGCCAGACGTCGCCCAGAAGTGCAACATGTATATCAGTTATTTAGTTGCTATATTATATCTATGTACGTTAGTCCATAGGTAACATATATATTATTATGTTGGTCATAGTTGCTTGATGTAGGTAAATTACTAAATAAATAAAAATGTATTTTTTATATGTCCCAAAATTTGACTTTCATTATTTAGATATTACATGATTTTAATTTGATAATTTTAATTTCCACTCTTTGGACAGTTATTAAATTCTATTACTTCAGACAATAAAAAAGAAATCGTTGCTGAAAATGTAGATATGTCAAAATTTTGCACCGCTTTTTGAGTGTTCTCTACTTGAGATCAGATGCCGTTTGACCAAACAGTATTAGCTCGAAAACTTTTACTCGATTGTTTATTGATTAGACCAATAAATCATGAGCTCTAAGGTTTGCATCAAAATCCCAAAAGAACATGTGTTCTAACGGTCAACAGTCAAAATTTTTCTTTACATTTCAGGGTGTGAAAACTCCTGTGAATTCGTGAATAAAAAGTCTGCTGTCGGCTACCACACATATTTGTTTTAATGCGTACTATTAACAATTACCAGTTCTTTTGCGATTTCAGTGAAATATTTATGTATAATAAAATTTGCTTATAGAGTGTTTTTAATGGGATAAGTATGGTGAAATCCGAAACCATAAAAGATACAAGGAACCATTAAGTCTTTGTTTGTGAAAACAATTTTGTCATAGTCAATTTTTTTAGTGATGATCGACTCAGTTTCACGAAGGGATAATTTCATTATTCGGGACAAATAATAAATCGGGACAACAGAAGTTGGTCAAATTTTATAAATTTTATAATACAAAATGAACAAAATTGAGTACTCGACAAATATGTGGGGTAGCTGACAGCGGACTTTTTATTCAATAATTCAGAGGAATTTTTACAAATGTAAAGAAAATGTTGGCTGTAAGACGTTAGAGCACATGTTCTTTTGGTATTTTGGCGCATCGATGTGGCAAACTTTAGAAGTCACGATTTATAGGTCTAATGGACAATCGAGTAAACGTTTTCGAGCAATTGTTTGATCAAACGGCATTCGATCTCAAGTAGGGAACCCCTTTCTTAATTATGCTTTACGGTATTGTTTATATAAATATAATACTACCAAAAAATTAAGTTTTATTTCCATAACGTTGCCGTTATCGTGTCGTGTCGTCTTTTTAATATGATTGCTATCTTCTGTTGAATATTGTCACCACACACACTAACCGCCGCAAACCCAATACAAGTGGAGCCAAGACATAGCTGCCATAGCTCCTGAGAAGAAATTTTCGTCTATTTCACGTCCGAAAGTGATTTCCATGCTCATTATGTCGTATCTGCACAATGTCATGTACATTACCCTTTTTAATTTTAATTTTATTTACGATAGAAGTGAAAATATTTAACTTTGTTGTTGTTGAATAATGTCAAAATCTGCGTCAATGTGTCGAGAGAATCTTGGATTTTTTTTTCCGTCCTCTAAGCTTGGATTGTAGTGGCAAATGTCAAGATTGTTTTTGAGATCTTCTTAGTCATGTGTAAAATCTTTTACACTTGTATTCAATATATTAACGTCTCGCTATAAAAGTACGTCATTATAGCCTTACGTAGCGGTGCACACTTTAAATCCTAGGGAGTAAAAAGTACTTAATACTATATACAACATAATCAACATTACGTAATATAGGTATATATGTATTCGTACGTACATTTGATATAATGAATTTATTTGTGTATTTATTGAGTATAGTATATTCCATTTCTTTATTTATCTATTTTTAGTGCCTTTCCAAAAACCAACCTTCCTCTCAGATTTCAAAATGTTAGTTGGAAGAAATCTCTTTATGGGATAAGCTCGCCTTTGTACACAAATATTTCATTTGTTTCTGGAAATTTGTAATTTACTTTGTGGTTCAATAAAGTGTTTATATAAATAAATAAATAAATATTTTTTTAATTTACTTCGATTAAACAAACTCAGCCGGTAGAACGCTCGGTTTTAGTTCCGTCCGCATAGACAGTGGCGCCATACTATTTTCCTGCGTTAATGCGTTTGTTATATCTGTGTCGGGTCCTGATTTTAATTCAAATAGGAATAGATCCAATCGGGTTGCCCATCCGCAATATTATACGCCTCGACTTGGAAAAGACGCAGTTTCCGATCGGGAGAGGCAATCAAAATCAAGCTGCAGAATTTTGGTTCGTAATTTTGTTGTAGAGCGAAATCGATTGAAATATTTTTTTCACCTCACTTGCTCAGAAAGGCTTTCTTTCTCATTAGAAAGAAAAAAATGGCGGGATTTTGAAGTTACAAGTACAGCCTTTACAAAGATTATTTTTATTTTGAGTACATTATGAAGAAAAAACGAAGAAAGAAATAGTGATGAAGAAAGTTAAACTATATTGTATAAAACTATATACTATCCTTATTTTAAAGCAAATTACAAAAGACTTTATCTTAAAAATTCCAATAATTACGAATTTTAAGTTCTTGTTCAATGGGGGGATGGAGGGATGGGGGGATGGAGGGATGGAGGGATGGAGGGATGGAGGGAT